GTGTTACACAAAATGCGCTGTAATGAATATGTAACTATATAAAGCATTTATTTTTATTTTACGCGCAATCGTGAAAAACTCATTACTCCTCCTATTGTGTGGAACTACACTGTTTTAATTGCCACATTCCGTCGTGAACGATTTTTTCATTGCCATCTATAAAAATCGGTCTAATCCCTTTTTACGATTTCATTAAATTCGAAATTAACCGTCCCGCCTGCAATGCATAGCAAAATCCTCATAAAACTACTCTCGGTTTGGATTGCGTTATATGATATTCGAAGTAACATATAATCGAGAATCTTCACATCTACCGCTGTCATCCGTGAGTATATATAATGAACTATCTGTGCCCGCGACGGTGTTTGCGAGGAAGACTATTCCGGGCATAAAAATGTTTTGCAAACTTCAAATTATAACGATTACCTACAATGTCGTTCATGTCCCGTCGTTCTTGCATGTTAATCTTAAAAGATAGACACATGGTAACGTATATAAATAACGATTTTATTTACACGGAATGAAGAATGAAACTCTTACAACGGTTTTAAACGCAAATTATATTAGTATAATGATTGTTGAATAAAACCTGACGTTTCGGGTGCTTTATAGCAGTGGTTACGTGATTTTTCGCGTTTTAAACTGTTAAATTCCTAATATTCAAAATTTGTACTTTACGCTAGTAGAACACATTTTAATTAAACACTCACGGTTTAAAGGCAAAATATATTAGTATAGTGATTTTTAAAATGAATAAAACTTTTCCTTGCAAGCGCTTTACAGAAGCGGTGGTCACGGCAATACATTCAGCGTTTGAAACCGTTTATTGTTTTCACGATAACTTTTTCAATTTTAATTCTAGTACGTACCTACTATTACTGCTTACGTGTGTACAAATATTGTTCCACTGAATTTAGAATATTCGAACATATCCTTAGTGGACACGATTCTAGGAACGATGCTGCATAATATTTTTATTTAGATCTCCACGTTCGGATCTAGCAGTGTCTGAATCCCTTCGCTGAGGCCATCAGTTATTCAATAAAGTTCGGACGCTCCCTGTTTTGTATGAAAGTTCCCGGGATAAGGCGGAAACGGGAATGAATAAAAGATGCGTCGTAATTTCATTATGACTTAAGAATGGGACGTGGGGCTAGCTGTAATTTTAAGCGCACTATATTGATGTATATCGAGAAAAAATATTTCTAGTTAACGTAAGCAGTACTACTATGAATCTCTAATATTCGCGAGGTCGCGAGTTCGATCCCCATCGGGTACAACAAGTTTCTAATTAAATACTGTCTGTAGTTTACGGGAGTAGTACATATTTAGATAAAACACTTGAACGGTTTAAAACGCGAGTCTACCACGCGGCACGGCTGCTGCAAGGCATCGGAAACGTCGGGCCGTGGTTAAAATAATTTTCAGATAAGTTTAAATAATATATATCGCGTTTTAAACCGTTAAAGTGTTTTATTTAAAAGTTTCTTATTAATTTATAATTTCCTTAAAACTTAATTTGGAAATGTGGATATTCCGTCCGAATCACGAACTGTCCACAGATAAAAAGCTATGAAATGTAAACGCGATTCAGTTTCAGTCTGTGGATTTCCAAATATCCAAAGCCACATCTTGTTTGATGTTGTTATATTGTTTGTTGTCCTCCTCTATGATAAAATTACATTTTCAACGGGTTAAAACAAAATTATATAATATATTACTTAAGGTTCCTCGCAACGAGATTGGCCAAAACCTCGAGAAATATCAAATCTAAGTATTAGTCTGCTAATTAAAATAATTTGCATTTTAAATGCAGTTTAATTTTGTAAGAATTTTAAATACACAGTAAAAGTAACGTTTTGCGTTTAACATAAGCAATGGCTTACATTCCCTTTAGGCTATAGAAATAAAATAGCCAAGTTATTTAGCCAAGTCACGTAAACACTAAGATAAACGTCTCACCACCCGCAGTCGTGTGAAGTGGAGTTGTGATTCGAACGTATAAGACTTGCATTACTAATTCTATGCTTGGACGTGTCAATAAATAATATTATTCTTTACAGCCAAGTGTCTAAAATACATGGATTCCAAGACGCCACTAAGAGTATGGCCGTATTTATTTAGTACTAGCTGTGCCCGCGACTTCGTCCGCGTGAAATAGTGACTTGGGGTAGAATTTTTAATTATTTAGGCTGTTTATTAATTTATGTAAGGGCGCATTTAGGGCAGCCAATCTATGTTTTATGTGCTACTTTGCCGCAGCACTCTCACCTCACATCACTCATACTCTAGCTCCCACTCTCATTCCTACACTCTATCTCACTCCCTCTCCCACTCGCACTCCCTCTCCTATTCCCAAAAAGTCAAAGAAGAAAGTTTCATTGTTCTAGCTTCAAAAACCACGAATTTCCATACAAATTTTCATCCCCATTTTAACCCCTTACAACCAATACAAATATGTCCTTTCTCAGGGTCTAGACCATATGTGTACCAAATTTAATTCAAATCCGTTCAGTAGTTTTGGCGTGAAAGAGTAACAGAGAGACAGACAGAGTTACTTTCGCATTTATAATATTAGTAAGGATACATTCACGAAACTAGTAGGTTGGTAGGAGGTTGACATTATGTCAACATAAACCGCAATGTTACGTAACGCGTAACGACGACCGTGTTTTCTTTGTCTTGTACAAAATAAGTACTGTAGATTCACTTTAGTTACACTTCTGTTGGACGTCCCAAACTTGCATCACACATCCACAAACATCACGCTGCGATTATGAGGAGCGGAAACGGCGTGAAAATTTGGCAAAAAACGGGGTAAGTTATTTATTTTTGAGGGTTTCCCTTGCGTAACTAAAATTTTTCTTTAGATAGATAGATATATCCATATTTCAAAATTAACTTGCAAGAATGACGAGACGCGACCGACATAGTGGGTAATAGCAATTATAAAGATGATGTCTAAGATATATATTCTTACCGAACGAAGTCACTGGCACAGCTGTGACACAGTGTTATGTAAAAAGATAATAGCAATTAGTTGCCACTGACAGACGAACGACTCTGCTATCAATAATTCCCTGCCCATCCACTAAAATTTCACACATACAAAATATGGCTAAAAATCGTAAGCATTCTATGCCTAATTAAATGTTAATTAATTAATTTTCTAATAAATATAGCACAAAAGCTTAATATCAGTTAGTACATGTTCAAACTCAATAAACCGCTCTCTATAGTCGTATCTGACTAACCGGTAATTGCTGGTAGCGGGCTTATTACGCGGCTATAAATAAATCAAACTACCCTCAATTTGACATAATAACTAGATAATTACTCGCTATAGCCTGTGGATTGTTTTTACGCGGATTCCGCAAAAATACTCTACTCTTCAATAAAACACTTTTAACGCGAAATATATTCAACTTATTTTTAATCTAACTAAGGCCCGACGTTTCGTATGCATTGCAATCGTCGTGGATATATCGGGCCGTATTTGTATAATATTTAGTTTTACAACGTTAAAAGTAGTTTCATAATAAATGTGTACTACTCGCGTAAACGTCTCAAACTCGTCGTAAACTCAAATATCCATTATTTCCTATTTTTTTAACTTTGTTAAATTTTTTGGGGGAAAAAAAAAGGGGGTTTTTTCCCGGCAAACCCGGGGAAAAAACCCCCCCTTTAAAAAAAGGAAAATTGGGGGGGAAAAAAAAAAACCCCCCGGTTAAAATTGGGGGGGCGTTTGTTGGGGTTTTCTTTTACAAATAAAAAAAAAAAGGCCCGAACCCAGTAATTCCAGGGCTTGTCCTGCCTAACAGCAATGTTATAAAAGGTATTTTATCTTGTACACATGTTAAATAGATTAATAGTGCAGTAGAAAAATACTAAGTATATGTGCTTTTGTATGTTTGTGTAGCATAAAATATGTGGGCTTAGCAAGACGTCTGTTTCCCCAGCTATTGAGTAAATTTCAGTTCATTCGAACAGAACCTCACTGTGCATGAAATTTCCTGAAACACTTTAACGACGCTACAAAAAGAACTCGTAAGTCGCGAATTCGTCTTTTCTAATACCCTATAAATAAACATGTGGCGATTGTTAAGGAGCGTGTACACTTCAAAGTCTAGTCTGTACTTTTCTAACGCATAAAGCTAGGTAAAGGAAAGGATATTGATTTTGAATCTTGGTGAAACGTATGCATTTAAATAAAACACTTGAGCAGTTTAAAACGCGATATATATTAGTTAAACTAATTTGAAATTATATTAACTACGGCCCGACGTTTCAAATGCTTTGCAGCAGCCGTGGTCAGGGGAGATGTATGTATGTATAAAAATCTATATTTCAAGTTTTATATAATATTTTACTATTGTTTTAATAAATGTATATAGATAGTACTTTATGTATATTGTTTAAGTGAATTATGTAAAACTACAGTTTAAAAAAAGTCTCTCTCTTCTTGAAAATAATAAAAATTGTAATTATCTATATAACTTCTGTTATCTTGAGCTCTAGTGAAAAAAATATTTTCTTTGTGATAATATTTGAATATATATGACGAAGAAGATGATCCTGAAACTGTTTTTAAAATTAGTGACGTCAGCAGTGCTGACGTCATAACTTCTCAATATAGTTGTCCATTTGGAGTTGTTAGTCCATAGTGATAATAAAACTCGAAATAGGTTTTCCTGATTTATTTTCAATACTCAGAGCTCCGAACAGCACGATGGCTCGAATAGTTCTGCCTTACAATTCGTTTCGTCGCCTCTATTTATATTCAGCTATGACTCAAGTGCACAGCTGTGGCACAACCGCACACGTGCAACTGAGTCATCTCTGTTAACAAGGTTTTGTAAAACATTAAACTAAACGTCAAAAGTAACAATAATTAGGTCATTTTAACAAATAATCAATATTTGCGCCGATACGGCCATTCTGACAACTGGTGCGCGCCCTGCACCAGCTTTATTGGTTTGTTATAGCTTCGTTGTTTCATATTATTTCGTAGTTTCTTGAATATTCACGTAGAGTTCTCGGAGGGTGTGGAAGAGTTCTCGGAGAGTCTCGCAGAGTTCTCGGAGGGTCTCGCAGAGTTCTCGGAGGGTCTCGCAGAGTTCTCGAAGGGTCTCGCAGAGTTCTCGGAGGGTCTCGCAGATTTCTCGGAGGGTCTCGCAGAGTTCTCGGAGGGTCTCGCAGAGTTCTCGGAGGGTCTCGCAGATTTCTCGGAGAGTCTCGAGAGTTTCGGAGGGTCTCGCAGAGTTCTCGGAGGGTCTCGAGAGTTCTCGGAGGGTCTCGCAGATTTCTCGGAGAGTCTCGCAGAGTTCTCGGAGGGTCTCGCAGAGTAGTAATGAGAGGTGTGTTGCTGTGTTCTGCGCGGTCATATTCGCCGTGGTACACAGAGGCTCTAAAATGGTAAGAAGTTATGTTAAACATATTTCTCGGTGACTATGGCTCGCTTACACTAGTAGTTCTCGAAGAATTGGAATGAGAGGTGTGATGCTCTGATCTGGGCGGTCCTGTTCACGGTTCACAGAGGTTCTGAAATGGTATTAAGTTGTGTTTAACATAATTCTCGGCAGTTATGACTCGATGATAATAGTAGATAGTTCTCGAAGATTAGTAATGAGAGTGCTTGTTACAAAGACTCTTTCCACTTCTGGTGGTGGAGTTTGCTTTATTTCCGCCGATACGGTCACCTGATGCCATAACATGATCTGATACCATGTCATGAATGATACCAGTAAGCTGAGGAGCTCGACGAAGTTGATCATAGGTGACTTTTCGTAGACTACCTCTACCCATCACCTTTTCAACAAGGTGTGAGTAACTCAGAAGGCACGCAATGTTTGCGTTGAGTAATTAATGTGTGAAGAGCTACTCCAGTCGCTCGATAAGGATTGCAGTTTAGTGCTAACAGAAGCTCTTTCAATGTTGTGTGCCATTCTTCCGTTTTATAGATTTTTGATCATGGTTGATCCGGTTTTTACTGTAGCTACTACGCGTTCTACCTGTCCATTATTTGCTCGGCTGATACCTGACATGATTAGGGCTATTGCATGAATTTCTATACTTGAACGATCACAATAGTTCTTATGTTTGCCCAGAAACTCTCTTCAATCGTCAATGATTATTTATATTGGAGCACCAATACTGCACGCTTCAGTGCAGCCAAGGTACCATCTGAATTTTTGTTGGTTGAAATTGAGTATTCGTTTGTTGAATCAGGCGTATATTGACGTTCAGGGTGCTTTAATTCAGCATGGAACGAGTTCTTAACCTCTACTGAAAAGCTGTTATAACCACTATACAGTGCTTATCCCCTAAGATTGAATCTTAGATTATTCGTTTGAGCACATTGTCTTCTATTATGTACTCATCGCCGCTGAGAATGCCATTGGTCATACAATCCATAATAGTTCGTAGCGCTGCATCGCGTCGATTTTTTTCAATTTTGAACCAGACAAGGTCCCTGGTCATTGGTTGTACGTTAACTGTAAATTCTGCTGGGTTTCTACTAAAGAACCCTTGTGGTATTCAATATCGAAATCTTAATTTTGTAGAAATGTCTACCGTCGATGAATCCTTTATCGTCCATAAAGATATTGCTTGAAATATTATATTGTTCGAACCACTGCTAAGGTTTCTAACATCACGCTTTCAGTAGTTCTCATGCTCATGAACTCATTGGCGTGTTGTCGTCCAGAGATAACTACTGGCATCGGTGTATAATTGAATTGGAACTTCTTGAAAAAGTGCAAGTGTTGGAGCTGATATCAAACACTAAATGATGCCTCCTCTTGTAATTTGATGACGTTCAATTCATTCCTACTTTGCTTCTGGTTTGATCAACTCGTAAAGTGGTATTGGTCTGGACTTGTTTCTTAAATGAATTTCCAATTTTCCGGTTTTGACACGCGTTGTTGAGTAACCTCTTACATCTGCCTTCAAATAATTGGTAGTTTTAGTCCTTTTTCCAGGTATTCGAGCTGCTACGAACTCGAGTAATAGGGAGCATGCTGCCCCACTGACAAAAATTGCTCGACGGTGAAGCCGATCCTGAAGAATTCGTATTTGAAAAACGTGGTCGCTTCTTTGGCTAATTTTATTGATGATTCAACCGATGTCAGGTCTGGTACTGATGTGGCCCTTGCATTGATTAGCTCAATCTGGAGCCATTCATCTCCTATACATCCACGACATCTTTATTTCGCAAGTTATCCTTCGGTATTCTCCTCCAAAAGACCAAGGCTCGTGAGAAAATTTTTGGTGATATTCTTTGACACATCTTCTCTGAATAGCATTATGTCTTGGAGTAACAATTTTCTGCTGCAAAGGTTGTTATAAGGTTGTCGCGTAATTGAGAGCATGAAGCTGTAGTAACCTCGCAGTAGTCAATCCACAGCTTTGCTCTTGTCAATATGTTGATACATTACATTAGTATCCGAATAAGATGACAGGTAAACATCGTTGATGCGTATTCTGGTTTCTTGAAGTTTATTTAACCGTTCGATTGTTTGTTGTATCATCTGCAACATAATTTGGACGGCATGTTGTTGAGGCTGAGGTTTCCATCGGCCTCACTGCCATTTTCAGTATGTAATTCCCTTGTATCAGGCTGTTGAGCGGAGAAGGTAGGTAATCCCACTTCTGATGACGAAGAAGATGATCCTGAAACTGTTTTTAAAATTAGTGACGTCAGCAGTGCTGACGTCATAACTTCTCAATATAGTTGTCCATTTGGAGTTGTTAGTCCATAGTGATAATAAAACTCGAAATAGGTTTTCCTGATTTATTTTCAATACTCAGAGCTCCGAACAGCACGATGGCTCGAATAGTTCTGCCTTACAATTCGTTTCGTCGCCTCTATTTATATTCAGCTATGACTCAAGTGCACAGCTGTGGCACAACCGCACACGTGCAACTGAGTCATCTCTGTTAACAAGGTTTTGTAAAACATTAAACTAAACGTCAAAAGTAACAATAATTAGGTCATTTTAACAAATAATCAATATTTGCGCCGATATATATAATAATAAAATAATTGTAATAAATTAAGGATTTGTTTTTCTTTTGTTTGTTTTTGCTTTTTCGTAAAAAAATATTGAAATGTTGTGCTGCAAGTTGAGCGTACTCAACTTGTGCTATCATGTACTGTCGTAAATATTTAAAAAAATGATTCCAGTGCTAGGTATTAAAGGAGAAAATAATTTCTTCTAATTAAGAGTAAAGTTTTCGGACAGCCAACGTATTATATAACTAATTTAGATAAACTAATGTTCACATTTACTTACGCCAAATATGTCCAAGTTAGATTTTAAAACTATTACTTTTGTTTATTTAATTATTCTTAACACACACACAATTTCAGTAAACTAAAACTATCTATAAACTAAAGAGTATAACGCGCGGTCTTATCGCTACTAAGCGATCTCTTACAGACAAACCTTTTTTAGAGAATAATGTAAAACAAATTAAATAAAGGGGAATGTGCAGGAGGTGCGAATATGAAAATCTAAATAATTTATAAACAGAAGTAAATTGAACCTCTGTACCAACCAGAATACCTACGTAAATCGCCTTTACCGTGGGAAATGCAGTGTACAAGGTCCTTAATGGCTCCACTGAATGGCTTATTGATGTTGTGAGCCTCTCACAATGGCGCAGCTGTGGAGTGCTACAGATAAAAAATATTCGCCTATAACTTACATTACGTTATTTCTTTTAGATAGCGATAATATTATCCGTATTTCGGAAACATTTGCGATTTTGAACCGAAAATTTCCTTCTTGTGAAGGAAAATTGCTTTCATTTTGATCTTATGTAATAATCTGTTGCTAATTAATAATACGTCTTTGTATGAGTTTTTATTTATTTTTTCTTGTGTTTTAAATACATAAATTATCTCTATGAAATAAATTCGAGTTTACGTCTTTCTACTTTCTTTATTTAAAGAATATCTTTAGAAAGCTATAATGGCAAGTAATATTTATTTAGAACCTGGAATTGAATCAAGGTCTTGAGATAAAGGCACGTTTAATAGACATAATAAATATTTATAGGGCGACGGCGCATCTTGGTAACTTGTTAGTAATGTTGAGTAAATATTGTAATAAGTTTATTCCGTTAGAATTGTAATGTAACTAACTACAATAAGTCTATTTCGTTAGCATTGTAAACTTATATTATCCATTTATCACACTTATTCTGTTACATACCTATATTTTATCAACATATAATGCAAATATTCACCTAAATATACACTAATTGTAAGTAGACATAAGTTAGCTTAGATGTTTTATTTATTGTAACTTATCACCTGGAAGAGACTAGTCACCCACGACACAGGCTTGCCCTAGTGTGGGGACTAGGGACTTTCGATTCTGCACCATGTATATGGAAACAATAAAGATTTTTTGATTTTGATTTTTTTTTGTTATATACGAGTAGCTGGGGTATTTCACCTTCCATCAATTCCATGCTAGTCTATCGTCCTTTGTCATGAGAAAATGGATTGAGAAAAGCATCGACGTGGTCGTGGCTTTGAGTTCCTCCTGTGTCATATTATTTACTAGCTGCGTCAGTCACTTCTTCCGCGTAGTAAAGTTATTTTTAACAACCAAATTTGTTTTTGCAAATCCTCCGTATTTAATAAAACACTTTAGTTTAAAACAAAATTAAACGTCGAGCCGAAGTTAAAAACCACTTTCAAATAAGTTTAACTAATATATCGCGTTTCAAACCGTTAAAGTGTTTTATCTGAATGTGTACTACTCGCGTAAACTATAGACAGTATTTAAATCCTCCATATCTTTATGAATTTAAGCTGTTACGACGCCGGTCGCGTCTCATCGTTCTTGCAAGTTAATCTTAAAACATAGACATATAGTGTTGCGGACATTTTTTAGATTCTTTAAAAAGGAATCATTCTTTCATAAATATTTTTGGGTGTGGGTTTTCGGAGCGTACGGACTGGAAACCCATCTAAGATGAATAATTTTGCCCGTTTTTTCTACATCTCCCGACGTTTCTTCGCTCCTATTAGCCACATCGCAATGTGTTATAGCCTATAGACTTTCTCGATAGATGCTCAAACCAACACAAAACTTTTTAATACGAACCAGTAGTTCCTGAGATTAGCGCGTTCAAGCAAACTCTTCAGAATTATTTATTAATATAGATTACATTTAAAATAATTCTTAATAGGGCATTTCCAAAAAGGAAATTTCCTTGTTTCCAAAATTATCGATGCTAATTCCGGATAATTTGTTAGGCAAAGCAGACTCCGTCAATTATTTGAACAGCTCTTCTCAACGTCATTAATTCAAGTGCCGGCCACGTTCGAGGGCTTTATTACTTGATTTTTCCTGTCAGCGTTATGTGTGACCTGGTTGAAATAGGACGCCCGCGCCAGTACCGTCAGCAACGGAAACTAACATATTGTTAATTTAATATAGAGGAGGACAGACAAGCACGGGTTTCACTTGAGATGAGGTAATATACCCTAGCCATATAACATCTGAGCAAGATGCGCTGTCGGCCTATTTTGGCTTTGGATATTTCGAAATACACAGACTGAAACCAAAACGCGATTACACTTCACGGCTTTACCACCAGCGGACGGTGGTTCGTGTCTTGTTTATGTGGAAAATACCTTGAAACTCAGTTAGAATTTTTCTGTTGTCAATAAATACAGTCTAGAAAAATCCAATGAACTCTTAGGGAAAAATCTAAAGGAAACTTCCACGCTCCAGATTAGCGGTGATATATACAAAAACATAATTTATCCTTGTCCAACCCACAGT